ATATATATATATATATATATATATATATATATATATATATATATATATACACACACACACACACAATACATTTGCCATTTAGTCAACTTTTTTATGCAATTTTAAAAAGATAGAAAATAAAATATTTTCTGCTTTTATTTTCTTAAATAAACGTGCATGCAGGAAATGACGCTTGACGCATTTTCTTTGATTTTACAGAATAGAATAGAAACCAAAGTAGACGAGGCAGTGCCCCCTAGTGTTTATTCTTTCACCATGCATGCTGCATGGTGAATGGTCAATGGTCCTTTTACTGTGGCCCTAAAGCTCCGTCTTATATTAGGGACAGGCTAACGTTAACATTTTTAATTTCTTCAACAGCAGAGTGACTGCTGTTTTTTTTTGCGGAACTATAATGTTAGTAAGACAAGCATAAAAATATAAAATGAAAATTCTTGACTGGTTAAATTGAAAATGGTTAATTTCAGAAGTGTCATGGACAATCGCAGACTACATTGTTGAATATACAAAGAAATATTAAAACAAAAAACTCGAAAGTTGCTTTTTTTCCACGCAACACAGCTGAGCGCCTGCTTTCAAATCGAAAAGTTGTACAACCATTTGTTTCACTCCGCACGCGCAGTCTGTTGTAACTAGTAATGTAACCTAGCAACACTGGACCAGTCCATTTAGGCGAGACGTTACGTTTACAACGCTATGGCCAAAAGAAACTTTTTGCTCAGATAATTTATAAGTTCAAGTATTTTTAAAGTCTATATACGCTTATTTTAAGCATAATGTATCGCTACAACTGTAATCTGTGACTTTATTTATATGTGGAAAAATCCTAAACCCCCCTCTTCCAGACGGCACAACATGGCCCATCAACCTTCCGCCCACAAACAACGAGTCGTGGAAGCGGTAAGTTTTAGGGTGCTGCGTAATGGTGGGTCAGGCATAGTAAAATCCTGCAAAAAAGTGTTCTTTTAGAATTGTATATGGTATTATCTTTGTTTTTAAGCTTTACATTTTTGTTTTAATCACGCTTGTCCAAATAAACCTCAAACAACAGCTTTTGCCGGTGTTTTGTCAAACTTTGTTTGCCAGGTAAACGAGAACCCACACGCGCACACACAAAAAAACAAAACAGTAGAACAATAAAATCGATAAACTCACTGTTCGTGTATCATTACAACTAAAGTTGACATTATAATGTATTGAAAATTAACATGCTACCCGGTTAATTTAAAAATAGTTCATAAATTAAATTGCTATTAAAAAACATGTCGGTTGTTCTGTGTAATTAGGCCGCTGTAGTAAACAGGTGTGCTGGTAAGTAATTACCAGCTGTTTCATGTTCCTTCTGATTGATGGCGTTTAATCGCTATAGCAACCTGGTTTTGTATTTGTTTTAAAATAAACAGAATTATGTAGATTTATAACTTTTTCCTCTTAAATGTCCTAGAATATATATTTACCGGTTAAAGATGTTTAAGTTACTTTGACTATTGTGTTGAATTAAAAAAAAAAAAAAGGTACAAAACATAGAAAATTATGTGCAGCTTTTTATTATGTTTTAGCAAACATTTTCATGAGAAAACTAATAAATCTGTTGGCCTTTTTAGATTTATTAGATTTTTTTTTCATCCCTACAGGAGATGGAGAACTTCATCCTCTATGAAAAGCTTGGTGCAGGACACAGCTCTGTTGTCTATAAAGGAAGAAGAAAGGGCCATCTCAACTACGTAGCCATCATTTGCACAGACAAAACCAAGAAAGCGGAAATCACTAACCATGTAGGATACCATTTTAAACTATATGAACTTAAGCTGTTTTCATTTTTATTGTTTTAAACACTAATAACACAGATGGTTCTCAACTGGAAAAAAAAAAAAAAAAGTAATCCTCCTGTATTGAGGATGAGCCTGTGCTTCAAATGGAGCAGTTCAAGTATGAGTTTTCTGTTTTGGACTCAGTGGAAATCACAACATTACTCCTACAGATCAGGGTAGCTTGGAGCTGTTTTACACTGAGAAACAGATTAGTTGTGTAGGAAGGAGATAATTTTATTTAATAAATTGAAGCTTTTATTTAAAGTTAAACTCTTTGTTCTTCAATAATTGTATGCTTTTTTAAAACTTGATCATTGTGATGGGTAGTGGTGGTGCAGAGGTTAGAGAAAAGGGGGACCTGTGATTGGAAGGTCGCTGGTTCAACTCCCCATACAGACGACATGAAAATGTGGGTGGGAAAGGTGAAGCACCCACACCTGCCTCCACCCTCATTTGCCCCACTCTGGGCCCTTGAGCAAGGCCCTTAACCCCCACCATCTGCTCCCCCGGGCATTCTAGATAGCAGCTCTCTGCTCCACATAGAGGGCTGTGGTAGCTCAGTGGTCAGGACGGGCATCCTGCATAAAAATAATTGCCACGTCTTTGTGCGAGTTGGTTCACTGTGACGAATCCTGAAGAAGGGAGCAGCCGAAAGAATAATAATAACTTGATTATTGTAAATCTGTGTTTTGATGTTAGCCGGTCCAGCCTTTCACAACTTAATTTAGTTCAGAACGCTTCAGTTAATCTTTTACCAAAAACAAAAAAGCATGAACATGTCTCGGTGCGACATCGGCGACCCCTGCGACCCAAAATGGAAGAAGCTGGTAAAAGATAATGGATGTCTCGGTGCTTACTTCCCTTCATTGTCTACATGTAGTGATGGGCTGTTTAAAGCTGAAGCTCGGGGGGCATGTATAAAACAATAAGGTTTCTGAAGCTCTATGTCAGAGCTTGATTTGTTTGGCATCAGTCACATGATCAATGACGTCCATCGCTTTGAAAGTGCCAAAGTTACTTCACTTCTTTGGTACCTGATTCAAAGGTGTAGGAAGTAAATCACTGGCTGGATTTCTGATGTGTTTTGGTGGCGCTTTTTGCACAAGATATAACAAACCAGCAAGTGACGTAGCGAGACATGGAGCCAGCCAGCCTGATGTGTTTTATTTGTTTAGTTTATCTGTTCATAAGCACTTTAATCCCAAGGAAAAAAAAAAAAAACTTTAGGAAAATACTGTATGTAAGTTACAACCAGTAAACATGAACTGGTTCATTACATCAAGTCATGGAGACAGAAAACCTGCAGCACAAGCATCATTCCAGACTGGTATTGTGTTACGAATTAGATATGATTGATTTATTTTTACAATTGTCAAGAAGTCGCAAGCAAAGGGGCCATGCCACATGTTTCATCCATCCATCCATCCATTATCTTTTACCCGCTTCTTCCGGTTTGGATCACGGGGATCGCCGGTGCCCATGTCCGGCAATTTTTAACATGTTTATTCATCAAAATTATTCTTCAAATAGCCAATTATTCTTTCACCTACAAAAACACAAAAGTTTAAAGCACCTCAATTATAGCTCGATATCAGAGAGAAATATATCAGAATATTAAGCTGTCAACCGTGATGAAGCGATTCGCTTCATGCTGTGGTCTCAAGTTGTTCATACTTTTGACTACAAGATGTCACCAAAATAAACAGTTGAAAAGCTTTGGGTAATGAACCCTTTTTCAAAACATGCTTTAGTGCTTCAGAAAAACTTCATTTGCCCATCGCTATCTCCCTGTTTGTTTTTGAATTGATTTTAACGTTTTATTGATGACCAATAAGGCCCTGAATGGACAGACTCCTGTCCAACCTCCTGCAGCCTGATGTGTCCCTTTTTTATTTTCTGATCTATTGTCATATAACTACTGTTTTTGTGTGAAGCACTTTGGCCAAGAACAGTTGTTTTAAAGGTGCTATAGAAATAAATTTGGTTTGATACCTCCAAGTTTTCTTCATAAGTGATGTTAAGACTGAGGGGAATCGACACACTGGGGCCTTGTCTGAAGTAATGAGAGTGTTGCTCCTGTCTGTTGTTGTGAAAAAGGAGCTGAGCCAAGAGGCAAAGTTCTGTTTACTGTTCCATCAAGATTCCAACCCTCATCTATGAACATGAGGATGGATAATGACCAAAACATTGAAAATCTAAATTCAGTTAGATGGAAGTAGAAAGTGAAAGTGGAAGGAGGAAAACCTGGAGAGCTGGTGCAAGAAGAACAACCTTCACATCAGTGTGAAGAAGACGAAGGAGATGGTCGTGGACTTCAGACGGAATAAACACAACTACAGCCCCACTGAACATAGGAGGATCTGTGGTGGAAGTGGTCTCCAGCTACAAGTACTTGGGTGTGTACCTGAATGACAACCTCAGCTGGAGCACCAACACCACCAGCCTGATCAAAAAAGCTCATCAGAGACTCTGCTTCCTCAGGCGGCTGAGACGAGCTGGTCTGGGAAGCTCAGTCCTCACCTCCTTCTACAGGTGTGCAGTGGAGATCATCAACAACTCCAGCATCAACGTGTGGCATGGAGGCTGCACAGCTGCAGAAAGAAAAGCTTTTCAGAGAGTGGTGAAGGCTGCACAGAAGACTGTTGAAGTCAGTCCCCCCACCATCACAGACATCTACACCTCCAGATGCAGGAAGAGGGCCACCTGCATCATGAAGGACCCCACTCACCCAGCACACACACCTTTTGCCCCACTCCCCTCAGGAAGGAGGTTGAGGAGCATTAAGTGCAGAACCACTAGACTGAGGAACAGCTTCTACCCTGAAGCTGTTCGACTCATGAATTCCTAGTCAGGATTATCACTGTGAAAATTACTGTGAAAAAAAAAATACTGTAATGCCACTTGGTTGTTGTTATGTGCTGCTGACTATCCATGATGCTGATCTCATGCTGCTGATTTATTTCATGTTGCTGTGTTCATTCGTCCTCACCTGCTCACACAGACTCATGTTCGGGCTGCTGTTGTTTGGCACATTGTTTTGTACTATTAGTGCTAAGTGTATTCTTAGTTTAGCATATTTCTTACTTCATATTTTAGATCTTATTACTGTTTTTCTTTACAATTTGTATTTTTGTTGGATGTAACTGGGACCCTGTGTTCATAGTTTCATTCCACCTCATGTACCACATGTGATGTGAATGACAAAGAACCTTGAATCCTTGAAATTAGCTGCTGCCCCTCCACACTGAAAGGAGTCGGTTGCGGTGGTTCAGCATGATGCCTTCTGGGAACGTCCCACTGTGAGAAGACTCCAGGGCAGACCTAGAGCTGGCTGGAAGGATTGTATACCCTCTCTGGTCTAGCAACACCTTGGGGCCCCTCAGGAGGAGCTGGAGGAATGTCTGAGTTTTCCTGCCTGTTTATGGAAAAGCAGCAGAAAATGGATGGATGGAAGGACAGATATCTGAGCAGAGCTGAACTCACTTATAAGATTATAAATGATAGACTCTTTTAAGGTTTAATGTGAATGGATAAATATTTAGTGATTATAAGGTTTGGTAATGATGAGCCTTGGGCCTTCTGTTCTGCTTGTTTTGTTTGTTAGGTACGACTCAGTCACAATATGGACCATCCAAATATCGTACGCTTTCATGAATGGTATGAGACAAGTAAGCACCTCTGGGTGGTAGCTGAACTTTGTACAGGTTAGTAAAATATTTGTTTGCTTGCGATAGGCACTCATTCACATTTATATACAAGATATTTCAGTTTTTTTTTTTATCTCTCCCCAAATTCTGTAAAATAATGGTCAGTGCTTGAGCAGCATAAAACTGAAATAAATTAGCAAACAGTAAAGTGATTTTTATAGTTTTTATTATTCACATTTTGCTTTCAGTTATAATTTGGAGGTTAAAGCAGTGACCTAAGTTTGCCTGATTATATTTAATGTTTTTTTTTATTCCAATCTTTTGTTTGATTCTGTGTTAGGTGGTTCTCTGGAGTCTGTAGTTACTCTCGATGGCAGTTTGTCAGAAGACGTGGTGAGAAGGTTTGGATGGGACTTGGTCAAAGGCTTGAAACACATCCATGGATTAGGAATCATCCTGTCAGACCTAACTCCTGCCAAGGTTTACGTTTAAAGAGATGTAAAACTACTCAGCAATATTATTACAACTATATGAATCTAATGTTTTGTTGCTTTTTAGATCCTTCTTGATGGAAGTGGCGTTTTGAAGTTAAGTAGTTTCTGCCTGTCCAGAGCGGAGGAAGAATCTCTGGAGGACATATTTATGTCGTTCTCTACATCAGAGAAAACAGATGGAAATGAATGGAAGGACCGCTTGAAAAAAAGAGAACAAGGTCAGTTTTTTAGTTCTGATGGTTGTGCACACATGTAATATGAAACCAGGACGATGAACCATCTGGAACGCATTGTTGTACATCCAGCCTAATTAGCATATCATGCACACTACTGAGGGAAATTACTAAGCTTCTGGGAATAACTTTAATGTTTTGCATTCCTTTTTCTTTATTTTCCTTGAAGAATCCAGAAAATTTGTAAATTTTTTAAGTGGGTTTTTAACAATATTTTTTAAAATATTGAATGCTTTCTTCTATTCTCATTTCAGTGTTTGCTCCTGAACATTAAAAATAAATGAATAAATAAGTTCCTAAACACCAACTTAAAAATTTAAGTTTGAAAAAGTATCTTAGTATACATAATATTGAGTCTTGACACATGAAAGAAAAACTAGCAAATGGATCTATTGCAATTTATTTTACGCTACTTTGTTACTATCAATTTGTAACAAATGGGATCACATGACTTGTTTCATTTTCTTGAGGCTCATCTGTGTATTGAAGATACTACAATGGGATGGGTATACATTTTTGTTGATTGCACCAAAAAGTGAATAATTAGAAGAAAAAATGTCATCAATCAATCAACATTTATTTATAGTAACCAGAAGGTGCTCAACTGCGTCACAGTATAAAAGTTAAAACAAACCGTAAGAATAATATGTTTTAATATTCAATTTTAAAAAGCCTCGGTCAGTGGTGGAGCTTGAGTCATGAGGAAGTTGAGTCATAGTCTGGGAGCAGTGACCGAAAAAGCCCGGCCACCCCAACATTTGTATTTAGACTTTAGGACAAACGGTAAAGATTTATCAATTAAAATGAAGGTCCTGTCATACTCACAGAAAGTAACTATAAGAAGGCAAAACCATTAAGAGCTTTAAAAGTAATCAAGAGGAGCTTAATATCAATTCTAAAACAGACTGGAAGCCATTGGAGTCTTAGTAAATGCTGGAATTACCTGTAATTAACCAGTTTACCGGTAGTTTCTTTTACGACTCTGTGCCCAGCTTAGGCCAAGTTTTTAATTAATAAATTAACTAAATTAATAAATATGTATATAATCATTTGTCTGAAAGTAATCCATTACAAGGTTTGGACTAAAGTTTGTGAGTGAACAGTTGCTGTTTGAAGAGGACCGTTCAAAGACCTTTAGGAACCATGAGAAAATATTACTCAATGTAACAATTTTCAGTCAGGTCATCTGGGCAGTTTCTTTTTTTTTGTGCTGAAACGTTTCAGCACAAAAAAAAAGAAACTGCCCAGATGACCTGACTGAAAATTGTTGGATTGTATACCTGGATTATTGAGCATGGGCTTTCTTGGTTTTGAACCAGTTTGACATGACTGTCGATGAGGAAAAGGGCCGGCACAAGAGGAGGGGACGTGCCAAAGAGACCATCTTAGCACCAACATAACTGGTTTGTTCCACTTTGGAGTAAGCTGTTGGGGGAAGAATCAGTTTTATGTTTTGTGTTTCCTTGACTGATGAAGCCTTCTGGATGGAAGGTGAAACATGTCAGCACAAAAAAAAAAAAAAAACTGTCCAGATGACCTGACTGAAAATTGTTGGATTGTATACCTGGATTATTGAGCATGGATTTTGTTGTTTACTCAATGTATTTAAAAACATTCAAAAACATCTGGCTAATTTGAAGTCAGTATAAAAAAGCAGGGTGACTCGGGAGTTTCTCATCTTGTTTTAAGTATCAATAAGGCTGTCAAAGCATAAAGAGGAAGCCTTGTGAGTTATGTAAGGAATTATTGGTGAATTGATGATTGTTAGTTAATTGGGAAACAACAAACCAGTTGGAAATGGTAGAAAGCAGAGGGGAGGGAAAAAAAACAGGAAGTGTCATTTTGTTTCGACACTGTCTTTATGTCTTTGCTTAGAACGTTGGAACAATGCAGAATTTGTAATTTGTATGATCAGTAATGACACTGTCAAATTAAAATAAATAAATAATCTAAAGTTTCATCTGTACTTTGTCCAACATTAACAATGTGATGTCTTCTGTCACTCTGTTTGGTGTTGGTCCTTATTCAGGCCTGTCTCTGTTTACTTTCAGGTTCTGTTACGTACAGTGCTCCAGAGGTTCTGCGGGGATCTGAAACCAGTGTGAGCTCTGATCTCTGGGCTCTTGGTTGCGTACTGTACTACATGTTCATGGGTACACACACACACACACACACACACACACACACACACACACACACACA